CGAGAAAAAATTCACTCTGTCGGGACTCGAACCCATGACCTGGCCCTTAGCAGGCTGCGAGGCTACCCACTAGGTGTGTGGATGTATGTCTCCCTCGCGGTCCTACGGCATAGCCGCTGCTGATGTCTGTCGTGTGTGTGTAGGCTATGTGTGGTGGTTCGAAAGGAACCAACCGTCAGTTGGTGGTCCGTCAAGCGTCCGTCTCTGGTGGTCTGTCGAGTCAAAGCCAGTGTTTTCCCTTTTCCGACCATAAGGGTTGATCTCGAAAATCGCAGCTGCTCTCTGTTGGCCTGGGAATTTCCACCTGATTCCGTGGGTTCCAGACAAAATGCAGACCTTCCACAAGAGTTGGCCTAGGAGCCCACAGGTGAATGAGCGAACAAGACACCGAGGGTGGTGTGCGACTTCCGTTGATTCTGTCCGCCATTGCTCTCGCCTGGAGCACGTTGCACGAGCCCATACTGCGGAGCTTGTGTGCCCCACCTGCTTCCGTGACTCTCGATTCGACGCCAACCCATCCGAACGACGCACCAGGTCAGCGACCACCCGAACATCGTCCACCTCCTGGGACTCTGCGATTGCGACATGATCACGGAGTACTTCCCGTACTACATGGACGTCCTGCTGATGGGAGATGACTCCAGCTCGGAAGAGCTGGTAGAGCTCTCCATCGGGGAGATCATTCGGATGGCGCTGCAGGCCGCGAGAGGGATACAGGCCCTACACGAGATGCCCGGGGGGCCCGTGGTTCACGCGGACCTGCAGCCCCGGCAGCTCTTGCTGGACGATAACGGCGTCGTCAAGGTGAACGATCTCAACCGCTGCCGGTTTATGGCAAGGGACTCTAGTGGGGAACCGTGTCCCTTCTATATCAGCAAGGGGAACGGAGTCTGGCGCTCGCCGGAGGAGTACGCGGGAGAGGTGAGAGCTGTGTTTGGTGCAGCTGCTGATTTCTTTGGGGGAGGTAGGTGGTGGTCGAGAAGATGTTGCGTGTTTACGAGCGAAGGGAGCACTTGGCCCTAGGCGTGAACCGTGTGCTGTCACTCGAGCGCTATAGGCGAGCAAGCTCGTCGTGCTGAAGGTGCATGGAGGAAGCGCCGAAAACGTCCGGCCGAGAACCCGCTCTCAACCGCACGCTTCCGAACACACGTGACAACAAAAAACATGTATTTCAGTTAGATAATTATGTGGGAGTTGAACTGAAGCCATCGAAACCTGTGAGTTGTTGGCGTGCGACGACACGTGTCGACCACTTCGTGACAACACCTTGTCGGTGCCTACGTCCTTAGACCTAGTAACAGGAGTTCATAACGCCATGCAGTCGGCCTGTAGTTTCTTCGAGCAATCGACACTCCGGCTCCCTTGTGAGGTTCTTCCACTGCTCCTAAGAAGTTTCCGCCATCGGGACTGCTGTTTCTGTTCTGTGATGGTATACGTGTATACGTGCACGTCGGCTAGCGCGATACTGGTGCGTTGTTTTTTTTTGTGCAAACTTCATGCGAACACGGCAGTGGTCGCACGCGCTGCGCTACCGGTGGGCTTGCTCAACACAAGCCCTACCGAACACATGCGTGAGTTTGTACGCGCGCCAAGCGGTCTAGCTCTGCACACCTTAGGCTAGACACAAGTTGACACTCCTCCCGAATTGTGTGTTGCATGTGTTTTTCCCCTCTCGTCTCTTTCATGGCTTGATATTCGGACGACAAAGCCACTGGTATGTTCAAACCCGAACGGTAGAACCAAGCAGGACTATGCTACAGATACGGTGTTGCTTGAACGGGCTTGGCACATACCATCGTATGTCTCCGCCCCTTGGTTTGTAGCTGCTGCCTATTGCTGCGGTCGCCGGATGGCGGACCTGTGGCGTATCGTTCACCCCTTTCTCGCTTCGTCTTTGTTGTTGACATTGCCGCTGCTGCTGCTGCTGCTGCTGCTGCCGCTGTTGCTGTGCTGTTGCTGGTGGTAGACCCGAGGCGCATCTACTGAAACCCTCTCTCGCTTCGTCGTCGTCGGTGTTGTTGCTGTTGTTGTTGTTGTTGTTCCTTCCTCCTCTTCCTCCACGACAGGGCCTCACCGAGAAGCTAGACATCTACAGCTTGGGGAACATCTTCTGGGCCATGCTTGGGAGAAAGCCGCCGTTCGTGCGGGACGACGACTACAAAGGGAAGGTCCTTAGGGGGGAACGCCCAAAGGTGAACCCTTCGTGGCATCCTGAGTTTGTGCAGGTGGGATTGTCTTGCAGTACTTACTTGCTTGTTGCTGATCTGCGTGTAGTTTATTATTTCTTGATACCCTACACGATAGTGATACCTCCGTCTTGCATTGTAGGCACTCTCGAAGAGTCACACTTGGAGGATTTTATTTTTGTCTTGAAGTTGTTCCCCTCGCCATCGTCAAACACGGGGGGGAGGGTCACACAAAACGGCTCCCGATCCTCAGCCCCCCCCCTCTCCACAACGGGTTTCAACAGCAGAGCGTGCCGTAGATTTGCGGCGGAGAGGGATCTTCCCCTTGTTTGATTCTATCGTCCATAACGGCTTTTTCGGTGGTCGACCCGTTTTTCTTTTCGGGCTCTACCTTGTATCATGCCCGTTGTTGTTTGTCGTCGATGCCATCGCTGTCGTGTCGCAGCTTTTCACGGACATGTGGAAACGGGACCCAAGGGAAAGACCCACTGCACGAGAGGTAGTGCTCCGCTTGGAGGCGATGTACGCGGAACTGCCTCCGGAGAGCGAGAGCGACTAGAAATGTCAGAGCGCGCGACAGTCGAAGCAGCTGCGAAGGGAGGTCAACAGCTGCGACAGAACCGAGTCGTTGAGTTTGTGATGAAAAAGTGTTGGAAAGATGGGTCGCCTCGACCCTGTAATATTATGGAAAAAATCGAACTTTTAAAACATGTCATGATGCTGTTCGCATCATTCTAGATTTTTCCGTGCTGGTGAGCGTGACACATGAAGCACGTCCACGTTTGATCTGACCGAATTCAACGGGGGGGGGGGGCAGGGGGGGCA